ATATGTTTACATATATACACACACACACACACACACACACACACACACACACACACACACATATACATACACACATATATGTATATATATATATATATACACATATATGTATATATATATTTTTTGAGAGGTTTTTGCTATAGGGCACGTGCGCTCGCCAGACAGAGACAGACAGAGAGACAGAAAGTGAGAAATCACCCCCCAGGGGAGATGGCCACACCGCAATCCCTTCTCCTCCATTCTCCTCTCGGGATCTTGGGCACACACGCACACGTGCCCGGCGTGAGTTTAAGCCACCGGGTCCAGGACTCAAACTGTGGTTGGCTATGTGGGAGTCCAGTGACATAGCCATTACGCTAACTGCTGGTCCCAAGGGATGGGTTTTTCTTTAGCGAGAGGTTATTGCTATAGAGTATGTGTACTTACCAGAGAGAGGCAGAAAGTGGGAAATCACACACCCCTGGGGGTGGGGGGAGAATGGCCACAACACAATCCCTTTTCCTCCAGTCTCTTGGGATTTTGGGCACACACGTACACATACCCAGTGTGACTTTTAAGCCACCGGGTCCAGGACTTGAACTGCTGTTGACTACATGGAAGTCCAGCAATGTAACCATTATGTCATCTGCTGGTCCTGGGATGGGTTTTTCTTTATTACCTAACTAAAATGTATAAGAAATGGACACGAAATGCTAAGAGCTGCATTAATTTAGACTGAGGAGTGAAATGTTCTGTATGAGATGAATGTATTCCTATAAATCCTATGTAAATCAAATGCTACATAAGAGCACTTAGAGAAAGTCTATTCTTTATAATGAAATCTTTTGGTAAATATTTTTGACAAACGAATAAAAACATTTCTTTTCATTATTCTGAGTTTTCATACACTTGGCTTGCTTTAAAATAAGGGTAACACTATCACTATTGATTTCATAGTGGGGGAGGTTGTTAAATGTGTTTGAGTTTTTTATTTGTTGAGTTTTTCTTTAACTTCATAGTATAACATTAACTTCATTTCATACCCTACAGTTATTCCACTGAACAAGCATTTAAGTGTTTCTGTGTACTGGCACTGAGCTGGCCTCCAAAAATATGTAACCAAGGGACCAGCAGTTAGCGTAATGGCTATGTCGCTGGACTCCCACGTAGTTGACTGCTGTTTGAGTCCTGGACCTGGTGGCTTAAACTCACACCGGGCGCATGTGCGTATATGCCCAGGATCCCAAGAGGAGAATGGAGGAGTAAAGGATTGCGGCATGGCCATCCCCTCTGGGGGGTGATTTCTTGCTTTCTGTCTCTCTGTCTCTCTCTGTCTGTTTGGCGAGCGCACGTGCCCTATAGCAAAAACCTCTCAAAAAATATATATATACATATATGTGTATATATATATATATACATATATGTGTGTATGTATATGTGTGTGTGTGTGTGTGTGTGTGTGTGTGTGTGTGTATATATGTAACCAAATAGCACCTAGTCCCTGCCTCAAGCAGCTTGCTGTCAGGCTGGTAGCAGAGTCAACTAGTAAATAGTACAGTGCCATGTGTTGAACACTTGGTAGAATTTAGAGTGGTGGTGGGAGCCAGCAGGTGACATGATTAAGACACTGGACTCCCACATCTTTGGGGCTAGAAGTCTGGACCTGATGGCTTGCTTGAAAATCATGCAGGACAAGTGTGTATGCATGTCCTAAATCCCAGAAGGAGAATGGAGAAGGGATTGTGGCGTGACCATTCCCCCAGTGGGTATTTCTCACTTTCCTTCACATTGTGTGTGTCTCTCTCTCCAGCAAGCACACTTGCCCTATGGCAAAAACCTAAAAAAAAAAAAAAAAAAAGAAGAAGTGGTGGTGGCGGTCTAAGGTGGGTGCCCAACTATTTTAGATGAATCTTGAAAGAAATTAACAAGGCTGAGGTGACCAAAGTGAAAGAGGGCAAGCCCAGGACATCTAGGCAGAAAGAAGAGCTTGCACAGGGTCACTGAGTCCTAAGGAGTTGGTGTGTCAGAAAGGTCAGCCTGGCTAGAAAGTAGATTGAAGAGGGAGATGGGCGCAATGAGAGTGACAGAGAGGTGAGCAAAGGCTTACCTTTTATTTATTCAGGTAATAGATACCTGTTGAGTGCCTATACTGTGCCTGCTGTATTCTAAGTGCTGAGCGTACAGAAATGAACACTAAAAAAATGGAGCCTATGTTTTAGCAAATTATATCAGTCCTTTATGCCAGTTTTTGGTTTCAAAAAAAATATAATAACTAAACAGGCAGTCTGTGGCTTTTAAAAAATGATGGAGGTTTTATTCTGGAGGGTTAGCCATTATCAATATTTTATTTTCCCTGAAAAAGGAAAAATTCTGTTTGAAGAAAGAAGAGAAAGTACTTTCTCAGTCTTTGCCATCAGGCTGGCAAATCTCTAAGCCATTTAGGAGATATTGTTCCTCCTTCCTGCTTCCCCTACCATCCCCCCACCAAAAAAGGGGTAAAATATCAGCCTGGATTTCACCTATTGTGTTTCTTTATCTTCTATTTCATCTTGAGCTTTTGGGTTGACTTAAGGCTTAGGAAAACATTCCATGCTATTTATGAAAAAGAGTAATAATCTTAGTCCTCTTAACAGTGTTCGAAAGGTGATTACACCCTCACCTTGAAACTGATCAGTTTAAGGTAGAAAAAATGAATGTAAGCATTTAGAAATATAATTTACAGTGTAATCTTGAGTGTTGAGTAAGATTTATAAAACTTTTTTGACTAATAAAAAAAAGCTCCTTAATTGAGCCGATCAACTCTAAACATATTTACCTACTCTGTGCCTGGCCAGCTCTGTTGTGCTTCTGTAGGCTAGTCATTGACTCAGTTCTGACAATCCTGTATGTTCTATCACTGTATTACAGATGAGGAAACTGAGCTCAAAGAATTCGAGTAATTCGCTTAAGATCTTAGTAAATTCTAGAGCCGAAATTCAAATCCAACGTTTTTCTGTGCATGTTCTTTATTAAAACGTTTAATCACCTTTTAGAAGTTGTATTGCTAATAGTGAAGTAGTCCCAGTTAAAATGGAACTTTAGTGTTAAAGATGTGCTTTTATATTAATAAAGGAACAATGTAATTGTTAAATATGAATTCAATCTTTATCACCCCAGAATTAACTTTTATTAATTCATCTTCTTTTCTGCCGTATGATCACTTTTTTCTATCTTGGAAATCATGGGGAACTTTATGACTGTTAATGATTGCTCTTTTTTGTTTTGTTTTTAGTGGAATCTAATCAGAAAAGCTCATTCCAAGAAATCCCCAAACTTAATGAAGAACTACTCAGCAAACAAAAACAACTTGAGAAGATTGAATCTGGAGAACTGGGCTTGAACAAAGTCTGGATAAACATCACAGAAATGAATAAGCAGGTAGCAAAAGTGTGATTTTATTTCTATGTAAGCTCTGAATATTTAGTTTGGTTGGTTGTATAGTATAAATTTGTAGGTATAGAGAATTCACTTCAAATTGTTTTATTTTTTTAATGAAGCTTACATGCTATGATCCCAACTTGTTAAAGTCAGTAAAATTAGTTATGTATTTACCAAATATTTAAAATGTTAGCTCTTTCTACAAAGAAACAGAATTCTACAAAGTAGAGCAATTTAGAGGGACTCGGAAATTCTTTAGTTGGCTTTTCTTATGGAACGGTATAGGTATCAAATAAAAAGGGAATATTCTCTACCCCCCAAGAAAAATGGATAGCCTGCTTTTATTCCATAATGAAAGGCTGTTTTGTTTAATACAGTTTACAAACTTACAGATGCTGTATACTATGCCAAAACAAATTGGGAAACCAACAATAACTGAAAGTAGTCATTGTGGAATAACTTAGGAGCAGGTGGTAGAACTGGTTAAATACCTTGGCCAGGCAAGCAAGCCTAGAACGTAACAAGCTTTTGCAGTCCCTAAATTGGCAATGATTCCAAAAGAGGGACTCTACAAGAGAAAATAGGCTTATCCTAAGGATTTGACCAAGCATCTCGTATGCGTAAGGGTGCCATACTTGCCGCTGGTTAGCTATAGCCCACGTCCTCAGTATTTTTCAGTTAAGAAAGATTAGTTCATTAAAAGGAAACTTGATTGTCAAATGAATGACTCTCATGCAGAGTGCTTAAAAATAGAGCGACCAGCAATGGCTATGTCGCTGAACTCCCATGTATTTGACTGCAGTTCAAGTCCTGGACCCAGAAGCTTAAACTCACACCGGGTATATATGTGTGCGTGCCCAAGATCCCGGGAGGAGAATGGAGGAGAAGGGATTGCAGCGTGGCCATCCCCTCTGGGGAGTGATTTCCTACTTTCTTTCTCTCTGTCTCTCTGTCTTTCTGGTGAGCGCATGCTCCCTAAAGCAAAAACGTCTCCAAATATATATATATATATAATGTCATCCTTACTGGGGCTAAAACGGTTTTTCAGGGTGTGTCACAAAGTTCTGAATTAGCCAGTGCCACTATGGTAAATGAAAATGCTTACACATATTTTCAAAGCTATGCCCTTCAGCAGTGGTTCAGAAGCCCTTTCCAATTGAGCTTCAGTAAAGACCTTCAGAGACGCTGGGACTGACTGTGAAGCCAGCTTGATTCAGGGGAGTTCTCTGCTGGCATGGGCCCAGAAGATGGCGGTCGGAAAGCCGAGTTTTATGTTCTATGGGGGCTCAGCACTCTGAACAGTTTTCTAAAATTGATGTTACACATCTCTGATGGTCCGTTCAAGTAAAAGACATTTGTCCTAAACTAAAACAGGTACAAAAATAAAATTAGGGAACCAGCAGTTAGCGTAATGGCTATGTTGCTGGACTCCCACGTAGTCGACCGCGGTTTGCGTCTCGGACCGGGTGGCTTAAAACTCACACCGGGGGAACCAGCAGTTAGCGTAATAGCTATGTCGCTGGGCTCCCACGTAGTCGACTGTGGTTCGCATCCCGGACCTGGTGGCTTAAAATTCACACCAGGCCCGTGTGCGTGCGTGCCCAAGATCCCGAGAGAATGGAGGAGAAGGGATTGCGATGTGACCATCCCCTCTGGGGGGTGATTTCTCGCTTTCTGTCTCTATGTCTCTCTCTGTCTCTCTGGTGAGCGCACGCGCCCTATAGCGAAAACCTCTCCAAAATAAATTAATTAATTAATTAATTAATTTAATTAAATTAAATTAATATTTAACCGTGTTTCTATAGCTAACAGTAACTGTCAATTAAGACGCTTTTAGTGGCAATTTCTTTTTTTTTTAAAGAACTATTTATTTAATTTTTATTTATTCATTCATTTGTTTTAATTTGACCAGAGAGAGACCCACAGAGAGAGAAAGAGAGAGAGGAAGTGAGAAAGCAAGCCACCAGGTCCAAGACTCGAACCATGGTCAGCCATGTGGGAGTGTCCAGTGCCTTAACCACCATGCCACCTGCTGGTCCCTGGCAATTTCTTAAAAGTAATTCAAAGTGACTTAAACAAGAAAACATCACTTAACAAGAACTGCCCTTATCACAGTGTGAGTTGAAGTCAATGTAGCCTGGAAAAAAAGTCATCACTTTGAATAAGTTAAAATCAGATTTTTGCCTTGAAAAAGCTTTAAGTCAGTAGTTGTAACCTCATTTACTTTTGTTTTATTCATGAAGCCTATGATTTTATACCCATTCCCTTTCGAACATTGTAGAGAGTCTCCTGCTCTCTCTCTGAAGATCATCAATCTTTGCTGAGCTGCTTCTGGAGCTACACCTTGGATTCTGTCTTAATCCACTCAGGCTGCTATAACACAATGCCTTAGACCCAGCGGCATATAAACAACAGAAATGTCCTGCTCATGGTTTTGTAGCTGGGCAGTCAGCGTTAGTGTCTAGTGAGGGCTTACTCTGCTTCAAAGATGGTACCTTCTTTCTGTGTCCTCACGTGGCAGAAGGGACACTCAAGCCTCTTGGACCCCTTTTTTAAGGGCACTAATTTCATTCGTGAGGGTGGGACCCTCCTAATTCCTCTCCTAAAGGTTCCACTTCTTAATGCCACTGCATTGAAGGTTAAGTTTCAATGTATGCATTTTAGGGGTCACAGACACTCAGGCCATAGTAGATTAAAAATGAGAAAAGATATGATTCCTTCCCTCAAGAATCTTAACAGTCAAATGGAAGAGAGAGAAAAAGTAAACATTTGTTAAACAGCCCGGTAAGCAATAAGAAGCAGATCCAAATGGGTACAGCGAGGACCTTTTTAAGATAGGCAACATCTTTCAGAGATCTGGAGCTAAGTCTGAAGGGAAAACTAGGAGTTGGCTAGGTAAGTTCCACAGAGAGAGAGGACATTCGAGGTAAAGCATTGGAACAGTTGATCCTCATAATTTATTGAGTCTGTTTTTGCAAATTTGCCTACTCAGTAAAACTTGCTTATAGCTCCAGACCTACTTATGGCACTTCTGCAGTCACTCACTGACATGTGCACAACAGTGAACATTTTGAGTCATCCAACACACGTTTACAGCTAAAGTTGAACGTGGTGACATACCACCTTCTCGTTTCAGCTCTCATACTGTAAAGAGCTGTCTTTTTCATGATATATTTAGTGCCACAGCTTCTGCAATCTTGTGCTTTATTTTATTTTGGAGATTTCACTGTTTAAATTGTCCCCCGGTCATATTGCTCAAGTGCCGTCTAGTGTTTCTAAGTGCAGAGACTCTGATGTACTTGTGGAGAAATTGCGTGTGCTAGACTGGCTTTATTTGGGCATAAGTTGTAATTAGTGCTGCTATCCATGAGTTCAATGTTAATGAATCAACAATATTTGTTTAGTGAGATCTCTTTAAACAGCAACACACATAAGCAAGGTGATACATTGTATTGAGCAGTTGACAAAAATGTGGCCATAAGTTTTGCTGCAGTATGATCCCTAGAAATGATGATTGAGTATTCACTAATTCAGTGTTTGCTGCAACTTTTCTAGAACAGAAACACCAGTAATAGCTAGAATTGACTATACGTGCAAAAGCCTGGATGAGGGAAAACATGTTATGTTCAGAGACTTTTCAGTTATTCATTATAGCTATAGTTTGGTAAAAAGAGGCCAGAGATGAAGGTAAGTCAGCAAGTGTTATACCAGGAAGGACCTTGAGTGGCCTTCTGTAGTACTCTCTGTATCTCTTTTTATCGTTTGGTCCATAAACCTTATGTGATGGTTATTTGCATATGTGCTAATTGCACTGGAAGTTTGTGCACTGCACTCTGAACCTTAAGCGTGATGACAGATGATGAAGGCAGTGATGATAGGAGGATAGTGGTAATGAAGATGGTAACTGCCGTTGCTCAGATGCTTGCTTCGTGCAGGCCACTGCTAGATGCGTTCCCTGTGTGATCTCTTTTCTGTGCTTCTATAGCCCAGTGAAGTAGAAGGAGGTATCTGTATTTTACAGATGAAAAAACTAAGGCTCAAAGAGGTTAAGTAGTTTACCTGAGGTCACACAACTGGAGAACAGAGCTAACATTAAGATACTCAAATCATGAGAGCCTGTTTTCTTTCCAGTTTCTGAATTCTGCCGCTTGTGTTCATAGCACTTGCAGGATTGGGTAGGTACTCAGTAGATAAAAGCCGAATGGATGTGATGTCAGGTCCCCACTAGGGCACCTGGCATTCATCACTGATGATGGTGTTTTAGTAACCTTTCCTTACTGTTTAAAGAACACTTCATTTTAACCCCAAAGCAAAACAGCAGCATTTCTGACTTTACTGTAATATAAAATGATCTATTAAGCAAATGGTCTACAGTAGCTATTTTTATTTGGCTAATGAAAAGTCATGTAATATGCATAAAAATCGTGATTCATCTTTTGGCTGGAATATGGATTCCTTTTCTTAATGGTTCCTATTTAATTCAACTTTCAGATCTAAACTCTTCAGATTGCAAAATGTGGCTTTGACCAATAATATCTATAATGTCTGAATCCCTTCAGATAGTCTAGAAGGTTTCTGTTAGAGGCCAGAGCAGTTCCAGAGACAGTAATGGAAGGTGCCCCTTGTTTCTCCATTCCAGTTTCACACATAAGTTTGCTGTAGTTTTCCATAGACTTTGGCACTGTTCCGTGGAAGAGAAAAACACTGAAAGATGGACTCCAGCTTTATAATTTATGGGACTGTAGCTGAGTCCTAGGGACATGTGTCATCTAGATCTTAGAAGTGAGTAAGGAACCCAAAGTGGTGTTTGGTAACTCTTTGGAGAGTTAATGTGGTCAGCTGTGCAAAGCGTCCTCTTTCAGTGAGGCAACTGGCACCCTAGGCCTGGAGTGCTGTGGCATGGGGACAAGTGGAACAGTACCTCACCTCGTCCTGCTCACATTGGCTTTTACCTGCTTCCCCAGTTTTGAGGGAAATGGGAGCAGCAAACTAGCCACACT